AATAACTGAACATTGGAACAAATTCTTTTAATTGTGCCAGATTGGTACAAATTTGGCCTTTTTTGATTTTTAAGTTGCTACTGTTATTAGGTTTTTTATAATGAGACTCCAATTTAATGCATAAACTTTATCCATCATTGAACTTCGCAGATTTGGGTTTTTTGTCTTTATGACACAGATTTTGGACTGTTGTGTTTTTTAAGTTACTCAATTGTTTAGATAGAAGAAGTTTAGTAGAGCAACCTGGGCCAAATCGCAAAAGAAAAACTCATTCTGCAATGACTTTTCAGTTATTCTTAATATTCCTCCTGGAATTTAGATATTCTTATAAAATGTTTAATTACCAGGGGGTGGTCATATGGGACCAAGCCCCATCTACTACGTTGTAAACAAATCGTGAATTAAAGGTGCCGTATCGGAAAAATTTGTAATCACAGAGGAAAGTGACCGAAGTGCGAAAAAGGACGCGTAAGCTAAGAAGGCAGTTCACGCAGTCAGACAGCCCGTGCTCAATGAGTCGACGAGGAGTCATGAAGGAGGCGTATAAAAAGCGGATTCAAAACGTATAGGAGGCTTGAAGACGATAGTTGTCATGGAAAAGACGTGACAAGATCATGTGTGACTAAACTTGGAGAAGAGGTGAAAAAAGGAGAACAAAACGCGAAAGAGTCGTAAAGAACGGATAATAGGAAGGCTAATGAAAGAGTTAAAAAAGAGACATAAGGTGGTGAGGGCCAAAATCAAGCAAGCAAGGCGTGAGAGATGTAAGACGTAGATAAGATCAGAAGAAACTGAGAAGAATGCGCGAGTAAGTCGCGAAGAAAGGGTAAATGAACAGAAAAGTGAAGTAAGCATGTAAGAGACATGGTGGAGGCGTAAAGGAACGTTTGAAAGAAGCAGGATTGAACGATGTGGGTGCATAGAAAAGATGAAATAAGGTGTGTTGACGAGGGAGGTGTAAAGGTGTAAATGAATCTGGCAAAAAGCGTGATAGATTTATATAGAGACGTGAAAGCGAAACGAAGGTAAGAAAGAGGCGTCAAGAAGGTATATTGAAAACACGAAGGAGATTTAAAGGAGTCTTAAACGAACAGACATGCAGGAAAAGGTGAGGAGGACGGGGTAGTAGAACATTGGTGAGAGGTGAGGACTGTGAAGCCGTGAGGGAACAGTAAAGAAAAGAAGCGAGAACAAACAGAAAGTGAAGAAGACATAGACAGGCTTTGAAAAGCTAAATAGAGGAAATATGCATAAAGAAAGTGTGTAGTAGGAGTGAATGGAACAAATGTGAAGGAAGATATGATGGGAATAAATGAGGAGAAAGAATGCGTGGAGAAACTACGAAGTACGCATGAATCATTCGTGAAGATACCATGAAAGCAGTATAAATTGTAAATAAATTACGTGAGCGGACAAAATTAGCGGCTGTAGGCGGCATCCTGGATGTGATGTCGGTGGAACGGACTGACGGATTCGAGCGTCACCGAGGGTGTACGGCCTTGCCTCTGGTCCGCAGCGGTTTGCGGAACGGTCTCGGAGTAAACTCAGTCAACTAAAACAAAATTATGGCGCAAGGCCCATACGGCAAGTTCCTTAGCGGGAATGAAAGCAACAAAACAAATTTATTACTGGTGTCTACGGGAAACTAAAAGCAGGAAAGCGAAACAGATTTTCCCTTATAAATAATTGAACGGTTGAAATAACTGTGCAAGAAAAAGCAAAAGCTAAGTAAATACGGCGAGGTGCACTTAATGTAGTCTCCAAAGTTATCCAAATTATTACGGTACGTACAACTGTAACTAGCAAAACACCAAAGTCAAAAGATCTTACGATTTGGTTAAAACGCCAAAAAGATCCCCTTTACCTTTCATAAAATTCGGGCATGCGATGGAGAGTTTCCTAACCAGTCCATTGTATTCGGATAAAAATTAAAACTGCTTTAATTAATTGTGCAGCCTGCCTGCCATCGCAAAAGAGAGACGATTCCCAAATCATCTTCAGTTTTGGGGTGTTTCGCATTATTGATATTTCGATTTTTTTCGTATAGCTTTCTAGTGGCGATCGGATTTTGATGAAGGTTTTTGTAAATAATAAAATAGTTCAGAGAGTATTCAAGGAAAGACTCCTTTGAGATTCTTAGATTTTTTGTAGGTTAGTGAGGAGCTTTGACGGATATCAATGTTTAAGTTTCCCAGAGAATTTTCGAATGCTTTTCCAAATCTCGGTCAAACCATGGTCAAACATATTTTTTCACAAAACTTTCATTTTGGATCTGAGGTTTTTCACAGATTCGTCAGAGGTGTTTTAGAGCAATCCTGCAGAGATTACTTACTGATACTTTTCCACACACCCTCCCGAGATTCTTACAGATCCCCTTTAAAGTTTTTCAGGTGCTGAAGCAAATACCAAAAACCACACTGGACTAATCTTTGTGAGTTGTTCTCTGGAAGATTTTTAGTGATCGCGATAAGTGATTGTCTTAAGAAAAAATGCAGTTTGGTTTATCGGTGAACTTGGTCTAATGAGTTAAAAGTTTATTCTCATGCTGATTGTTTGGGAATCCTGTGGAATCATTGATGATCTATGAAAATTCTCTGATAGGCCCTAAAAAATTACACCATAATTTGTATAAATCTTTCATAAATTATCTCAACAATTTTTGAAACACTTCTCTGTAGAATTCCTCAATTTTCTAAAAAAAATATTGAGAGATCTGTGAATATAGACATCCGCAAAAATAATCGCTAAAAAACACCGAGGAAACCTTAAAATATGTTATTTGAACAATCTAACAAGAAATATCAGAAGAATCTATAAAGAACCCTTAGAGAATGATTAGAGATTCTTTAAAATATTCCATTCAGAAACCTGAAGGATCCTAATCGAATTGTCTAAAATTCTTATAAAAAATATCCAAATAATTTTCTGAAGACCTTGATTATCTTTAAAGAAATGCTTAAAGCCGTCTAAAGAAATTTGGAAGAACTTCTGAAGGGTTTTCGAAGAGTCTCAGAAACCTCTGAAAACCCTCGCTGCAATGGCTCTGGAAAAAATTCACTGTCTGAAGGATTCTACATATGCATTTTATAAACATCTAAATCTTGTCCTTGTATTTCTTTAACGTCCGAAGCTTACCCGGAGAAACTTAATAGAGACGCTTCAAAACATAACGGAATAGTCTACAAACGATATAAAAAAATTGTCGGGAATGTATTAAGAATTTGTTAAAACATATGATGTTAAAGTCCTTGAAGAATCACTGAAGGATCATTATTTTTGTTTTTATCAACATTTGTAAGTGTGGGGATATAGCTGAAGAGGGTACCGACGGGGCACATGATACACATACACATTTCAAAACTTGTCAGCAGCATTCTCCTTAGATAATCTTTGGGAACTGATACAGAATGTATTATTAAGAATGTCGAGAAACTATATCTTCACCAAATATGAAAATGTGGCAAACCATTCTCGATTAATATATGTTGGGGCCTTAACGTACAATGGAAATAATAATAATAATAATAATAATAATAATAATAGAGAGATTTATTGCCCAACAGAACAGACATTCCAATTACAGGACAACACATAATAGTTAACGCGCAATTATTTAGTGTAATAAGAAAAAAAAAGAAACACAACAAAAAACTCAAAAAAAATCAAATATCAAGAGCAGTTTGGTAAGCAAGTTTAAGTTCGAACACTTGCATTAAAATTTAACCTGAAATATAAGTAAATGTAGAAATTGAAACATTGGATGGATGGGAATAACGGTATGAAAAAGATTGAAATAAGTAAACAAGATTCTATTCTTACACTATGGCAGTTATAGGCACTTTATTCCTATCCATGTTTCATAAACTCCAATATAGTCGCCTAGATTTTTGCAAAGTAGGTATTCCAAAGGAGTAATGAGTTTTCAGGTTTGTTAATAAGGTTTGCATAATAAAAAATCTTCCGA